GGTGTTGGGAACCACCTTGTGGCCACCCCGGAGACTGAGTGTGGGGGTGGGTTTCCATCCACCATCACCAGGGTTGGGCACCTTGGGCCACCAAAGTCGCCTTCGGTGAAACTCTGTCTGGGTGCTGTGCCCACCAGTCCCCACAAGCCCCCATCCTCACATGACGCTGATTGGTGCTAGGAGAGGGGACAGAGTGACCCCCCTGGCAACCATCAGTGACCCACCTGTGGACACGGAGTGCGTGCGGGCCTTCAGGGAGGGGGGCGAGTCTGCAGAGCTGTCCACGATGTCCCCTACAAGTACAAGCCATGGGCAGCATCAGCACCCTGGGGTCTGCCCTGTGCCACCAGCACCATCAGCATGGTGGGACCGAGAGCTGGGAGCTCGGGGGGACCTGCCCATGCCCACCCCATGGGTGCCCAGCTGGGTGGGGTCAGGGTGGGGAGGACGCAGCCCCTCACCGTCTGAGCCAGCTTTCTTGATCTCGCTGTCTTTGCTCTGCAAGAAGAAAGAAACCTGGTAAGGGGAGGGTGGCAGGTTGGCAGCACCTTCAGGGATGATGGGTGCTGCTGGGCTCTGGGGTGCCCGCAGCTATGTTGGGCCCCTGGCAGAGTTGGGTGACAGGACAGGGGCCACAGGCAGTGGTGGCACAGAGCTGGGTGCTGCTGGACCCATCCAGGGGACCCTCATCCCATAGATCACCACCTCTGCCCTCCCTTTGGGTGCAGGATTGATCCCAAAAGTGGAGCCACTCCCCACCTGCTGCTTCTTGCCCTCGGTGGCCGGGCCCTTGGTGACGCCGATGCGGTGGAGCATGACCTGCACACGCTGCTCGAAGGAGCCGGGCAGCTCCCCCTCGCTCTTCTCCAGGTGTCTCTTCTGTGGGACAGACACAGCCCTGCCAGGGGGGCAGCACCCACCTAGAGGGCACCCTCCTCCCCAACCCCAGCCATGCCCCCAGGGCACCATAGCATGGCCACAACCCAGTGGGGATGTCCCCAGCCATCTCTTCCTGGTGTCCCCATGACCCTGCCTCCAGCACCCTCTGGGTGAGCCAAACAGCAGGAGGTGGCTCAGTGACAGCGACAGAGCTTACCTTGTCATGCCTGACCCCCAGCGCATCCTCATCCTCCCCAGGCAGCAAGATGAGGGACTGGGATTTGCCCTCTCGTGAGTACTTGGGCCGGATCCTGCGGGCAGAGTCGGGGGTCTGGCAGTGCTCGGGCTCTGCCCGGGGCTCGGCAGGGGGGCCCCCCCCCCCCTGGTTTCACAC